ATACAAACACCTGTTTTCAGTACACCTGATCACAGGTGGAGGACACTGTTATTATGATGGGGTGCACACCGTGGCATGTGTCATCATTGTCTGCAGCGTGTTTGGACAACTCCCCATGGCCCTGTGCAGACAGGCTGGGTGTTTTCCTTTAATTGGATTATTGGACTGGGTGATGAGAGATAAAGAACTCTACAGCCCTCTGAAACCATAATAAAGGTAGACCCCTGGGAGAAATTTTGTGATGAATGGCTGTCAAGGAGATTGAGAATACTCTCACATATTTTAGAGCAATTAGAATCATATTACATGTATAATTACCGTTGATAAAAAGGTCAATGTCCACTGGACATCTTCCATCGCAGGACTTCTTTTACATGCTGACAAATCTTTACACTATAATATTTGAAAGGTCAACAAACTAAATGGTTACTGCTCAATAGGTTTTCTGGGAAAAGAGGTGGAAATCCTTTGCCTCAGTTTGTCGGGTGCACAATGGATCGGAGCAGCTAGATTTGATTCTGAGCACGATGAGAGAAAGGACCAATGCTGAGCGAGCCGTAGGTTTCAGCAGCCAACATTTGTATCGGTTTAGGGGATTTCATGCAAACTACATGTACAGCAGCTGACACTTACACAAATTTTCTATCGAACGTGCTGAATCGCTATGCATCAATGCACTGCACAGATGGAGAGGCATGTGCGTGTTGTGTGCCGTACATAAGTGCCGGTACTGTACATGTACGTCACAGTACCACCGTGTATGACACATGTACATGCACCATACTTAAACAGGTACATGTACAAACAGCGGGGCCTACACACTTTGTATACTTATAAACATGCACACACACTAACGTACCTGTATTTTACATGTAAACATACATAGTCTGTTCTCTGTGTTAATGACCACCAGCTGTCTTACATGTAAGTGCTGTGATATGTTAATTGGACGACACCGAGCAATCTTGTACATTTACATGTACATTCTGAGCTTTAGTGTTCCATTCTGGCTGGATGTTGTTTTTAAAAGCAAAATACATGTACCATAGGTCCGTTAAATGGATCCCCTAGGCCTTTTTGCAAGGCACCTTCCTCTAACCTTCAAAATCCTCCAATTACCCATGCAAAAGACATTGCAATCAGCCGCGATCCTCCAAAACCTTCCACATTTTTAGAGAGGTGCCTCACTTTGAGGTGTGACCACTGCCTCAATCCTTCAAAATCCTCCGGCAATTCCTGTCACTGTGTTGAGGCAGTGCGAATGGCATCCTGGAGCAGTACGGGGGATTTCACGTAAGCACCATATGATAGCAGGAATTTACGCATGGCTGAACATAAACAGCGCGAGGCCTAACCCACAACTTTGACACAATGCTACCTCTTTCAGAACCAGCCATAACTTTTTTTTTGCCTTTCTTCCTCGATCCTCCCAAATCCTCTAAAACCAACCAAAGGGTTTTAGCGGATTGAGGAGGGTCGGGGTTAAATAATGACATGGAATATGTGAAACTGCATATACTTTATGAAATGATCAACAAAGCTTTAAATAAGAAATTGTTCCTTCAAAAGCTAGTCGCTACATGTACATACCCGTTTGTGTCAAGTGTAATGCAAGCCTGTACAAACTCGCATCATGGGAGTATTTGTCACTGATTTCAAGATTGGACTTGCCATTTTTAATTTCCTGTTGCCTTCCTGCACAGAATAAGAACCAGTTGTCCAAGAAATGACTTTGGGATTCCCAAGATTACTTGTGCTAAATTCTAAGCATGTTAACACACCGTACCACTTATGGGTACGGTAGGTCCAATGGCAGCAGATCATGGCCCAAACTTGCTGTTTAGCGAACATTTAATGCCGTGAGCAAATAACTGGTATTGGCACACGTCCACCTACCCAACCATGTCATGCATGGGTACCGTACACTGTAGTTTAGTAGAAAGGCAAGATTAATTTACTTGTTTTTGTCTTGCACTGGAACATGGGAATGTAACCTTTTGGTTGGATTCCGACCGCTTGATATCAGCCCCCATTCAAACCAGCTCATTAATTCCCAACAAGAAGTACCCTAGTCAAGGAGTCACGGTCCATGTACAATTTTGCCCCAATTTGAACAGAAAACTCAGGGTCCCATTTAGGGTTCCCTGCTGAAGGAATGAGAATTCTGAACATTTGCCCACAAACGAACTGTTCAGAGTCAAGCTAGCACACAAGTTCAGAAGTGTGACAAACTGGATTTTAACTGAAAAAGTCCAAACTTCTTACCAGTTTCCAAAGAAGTTTGGGTATGTGTTACCGAGTGAAAACACTAATCTCTGTCTGTGACCAATAAAGTCTCAGTGCAGTTTGATGCACTGAGAATGCTGTGACAATACATGCTCATGCAACTGTGGCACGTTGAAATATCTCCTGACATTTAAAAAAAAAACTAGCAGTGGCATACATGTATGCCATGTACATGCCACAATAGTCCACTGGACAAGTTTGTAAGTTTAACTTTGCATTGTGTGAGGCATTTAGTCTGTGCACCACAAAGCTACATGTACGGTATAACACAATGGAAAGGAAAAATGGCCTCCTGGAACCCCAACCCCTGGCAACACGCTTTCCAATAAAATTCTGGCCTGAACCTGGCCTCCTTGTAACTGGTTCACTGCTTCTCCACTGAACGAACTAGCAACTGGCTTTTATTTGTTATCCTCTTTCATGTGGTTTCCTGCTCTTACAAAACCACAATGCGTCCCTTTATAAACTCAGCCTGCCAAGTCTGTTCCAGTGGTCGTATGTATACATGTATATTGAAGATCACTCATTACAAGTCAAATCCACAGTAAAAAGTGACCATTAAATGAGATTTATAGCCACTAACACATCTAAATTGAGCAAAAATGAGCTTGATCATGACTTTTTTTCATTCTCACAAAAATAGCTTTGGTAGGTGCGGTAGGGCATTGTCATTAATACTAAATAAAGCTGGTGAATTCTTCAGGGAAAGATTTCCCAACAATATAATCAAAATTGTAAGATATAATTTTGTAGCATCATAAGCAATGATCTCCTAGCTCCTCAAAATGACTCCCAAACCCTTCAGTTGTGAAGAACAAAACTTTCTTGAAGATGTTTAAGTAATTTTGGCTGATACACACCATGTGAAAGTTTTGAAATAAAACTAGGTTAAAGGTACTGTATATTAAGGGGCCCAGCAGAGGTGTCCATAAGCCATATAGCTAATACGGCATGAATGATTTTAGCTCAATTGCAGAATACTACACCATCCTGCACCATCAACCTCATAGCCAAGTAGAGGTCAAAGTGTCATACTCTTCTCAAGGGGTTTTCACCTTGTACCCACATAACCAGTCATTCCAGGGGTCGGTTTTTAGAGTGGCGGGGTATTCTGCAATTACTCTGTGATTTTGCACAATGGTTAAAAGGCATTCTGGGAAGGAGGGGGCAATGTTTGCTCGTTTTTTCCTTCCCACAATGCCTTTCTATCATTGTGCAAAATCACTCATGCAGTACAACCAATATATAATTATAAGGCTTATGGTGTCCTAAAACTAGCATTAAAACTGCCAGGATGGCCACCAAAAACCAATACAAATCACAAAAGTGGCATAGATGAACTATAAACATGGTCATGATGCATCCTTGGTAAATCAGACGTGAATAGGCTACCTTAAACCTAGACCCGTAAACAGGACCTGACGAATACTCCTCCATCATATCCTGGGCCCTGTCCTGATTCATAGGGATTTCTTTCGAAAAATGATCTCCGGCATATCCGAGGTCATGTGCTTGATTTTTATGAGCTGAAATTGCACTGGTATGTTCACCACTTACGGGGTGAACTATCCGCTGGTTACTAATTGCAGAAAACTCGCCTTTTCCTCATTTTGAGGAAAAACTTTTGCCTTTTTTGGCCATTTTCCCACTTTGGACGAACTTTGCCCCACTTGCAACAAAACTGACGGCTGTTTCGTTACTTTCGTGTCATGTCACAGAGAGCGATTTGCTGCAAGCAGTGTGTAACTGGACAGGGAATCAGTTAAGGGAGTTGCGTAATAGCTGCGACACAAAACAGCCGTAATTTTCCATGATACTTGGATCGACTGGTACTCTCGCAGATCTGAACAAAATTCGTAAGTGCTGAAGTCTGGGTACAAACTAGACAGGCTCTTGTACAGGCTACTATTACTTAACTATACAAAGGAGTCTGTGTAATGTACAAGTCAGGCCAAAATTCATCCGGAGTGGGAAAATGGCGAAAAAAGGCAACATTTTTTCCTCCAAACAAGAAAAAGGCAAGTTTTCTGCAATTAGCAACCTAGCAGATAGTTTAACCTGTAAGTAGTGAACATACCGGTGCAATTCCAGCTCATAAAATCGAGTGGATGACCCCGGATATCCTGGAGAAAATGTTTCGAAAGAAATCCCTATGAATCGGGACAAGGCCCAGTATACGATGGAGTATTCGTCAGGCCTTGTTTACAGGTCTACCTAAAACCTATGTAAATAAAAAAGGGCCAAGGCTACCCCCAGAACTGTGGGGTCCAACGTCCACTCCCCTCCCACATGGGAGAGGAGCAGATGTCAGACCCCACAGTTCTGGGGGTAGGCCTAGGCCAAGGCTACATCAAAAATAAAAACACATGCATTAACCCTCCTATGCCAAGATGCATTCTTAACAAAGTTGTGATATCAGTCAAAATCAGTCAAATTTCCCGTACGTGTCTGTGTACTGGGGGAAATCAATTGGAATGCATTTTTGACTGTTTTGACGGTTAAAACAGACGGAGGGTTAATGGCCTAGGTCCTGTAAATAATTTCCTTCAAAAATGTTCGACATGCCAGATGTTTCATACCTGGGACTCTAAAAACGTTAGGCCGCATTAAATCATGACTGATTTGCGATTCAGGCCTTCCTGTATGTCAGAAGATACAAGCTTGCATGATAGGGATGACAGGATGTCTTTGCCTAACGTTAAGCCATGGCCTACCTCAACTTCTCTAACATCTGTTGAAATTCTCCATGCACGGACCATTCACAAATATGGTTTGTATACACTTCTTGAAGAAACTAGCTGTTGTTGTCAAAATGTAGTAGAGGCCAGCAATCATCAAAATATCACTACATTTTTACGGTTGAGTCATCAAGGGCGATGACGTCGCGGAGTTAGGCCAGAGTATCACAGCGGAGCTCGCCATCTTTTTTCACTGCACTACATATTTGTAAATTTAGCTTGAAACGAGTAGTTGATACTGCATTTAATAACACATGTATTGCCTCAAAAAGCGATTGTTGGTGAGCAAAAAATGATAAAATTGTTACTGAAACATACAGAGTCTTCCTGGTAAAATAAACCAGTAAAATTTACTTGAGCAGCTACCAGAGCGACAGCACAATATTTTTACCATCTACGGGATATAATAAAAAGCATTTCAAAAAAAAAGATACTTGTTGAGGGCGCTCTTCATAAACGCTGGTTATCATGATGTGGACAAACGTAAAATCAAATTGATGTAGAGGGCGGATCAAGGCTAGGGGCGCCAACAGGGTTCAACGTCATGTCCAGCCTTACCAGAACCACACTTCTTCAAGAATAAGATTTATTCTACATGGTTGTACCCACAAACTGTCATCTCCCTCACTGATACATTATGCAAAGCTTCAAATCCTATTCTGTCGTATCACAAAAAGTTTGTTTAAAAGAAGCAACGATGGCTTACGTCCGTTAATAGGACATAGGGTCGGGTTCGTGCGATTATCGGATGATCAAAAAATACAACAACTTCTTCAACACAGACAACGACCCTCTGCGAGGAGTATGCTGAGTCAACTAATGTGGGAATACGGATGGCTAAAAGTTTCAAAGTTTGTAACATTTTGTCAAACACAAAACTAAGGCTTCAATTATTAAACAAATAACCCCACGTGAAAAAGGTAAACCTATCCGGTAGTTGATGCGTGTGACGTCATGTATTGTGGGCCGGAAGAACGTCAGCGAATGAAACAGATGCGCGCAAAGGCGTCGCTAGACCATTTTGAATGGGGGGAGGGATGCCACACGAAATTTGCCGGCGGACCGTCACGCATAACGAGTGTCCTAAATCCCCCTTCGATTCATCTTCAGTCTCTGTTTTCCGTTTTTATTTTGCTGACAGACCATGATTTTGCTGACAAAACTAACCAATGGGGGTGTCACATCCCCGACACCCCCCTCTAGCGACGCGCGTATTCTGTTCGACCGCCTACGCGATACTCCAAGCAAAAAACACGAGCAGATATAGCTCAATTTCCAGGTGGATCCAGCACTATTTTGCCTATGTGGAAGTTTGTATGCACTTTAATTAATAGGAAAAGATAGCCAGATTCAACTCAAAAACGATCCTCACATGGTTTTTCCAGGTGAAAAAAAATTAGTTTCTTGCCAATTCATAATGATTGGTCTGCTTGCACGGTTAATTATGAACCAACGTGGTATTTTACTGGTTTACAAGATTAAATTGGGAGGCCGTATCTTCATGTTGACAGTGGCGCCACGGCAATCCAAACACAACTATTATTGCTTGCCCTTTTGACGAGGAAATTATTGCTTTCCTGTTTCCTTAGAAGTACTGTTGTCCCCAGACATAAATTGTAACAGTCAACGTGCAAACGTAGTTAATTATTGCGATGTCGAGCCTCCACCTTCTTTATTGGGCAACGCGTAATTACGTGACCATTGTAGTCGATTTCACACTGGGCATGCGAAGTGGGCGTTGCCAACCAGCTTACATTACCCGGCATGCGCTGATGAACGTCTGTAGAGTGAATTGAACATGCACAAAACGAGTCACTGAATTGGAGCCATTGCTACAACACATGTACCTAAACACGCCGCACGTCATGCCTATTTTGTCCACTCACAATCAAGACATCGGAACTTTTAACACTATCAACAGGTACACGCCCATCGCAGCCGTCGCAGACGATCAACGAGAGTTCAAACCACCTCGTTCATATAAGAAAAGGTGACGATTGCTGGACAACGATAACCATCGACACAGGCGCGAAAAAAATGATGTCCAGGCCAGCAAATAAACCTCAAGCCGTGAGGAGAGCTCATACCTTTGAAGGGGTAAGTGGTGACACAGTTTCATTCTTAGCTTTCCTAAAGGAATATGCCACTCACTTGGTACGGTCTAGACACTCGACAGTTGATCCATCACAACACCAGACAGCACAGGCCATTGGACCTCCGGTAGTTTAGTCGTGTTCTTCCAACATTTGGATGCCAATACCGACTGGCCGTCAGTATACGTAAAGTAAAAGAAGGATTAATTAACGAAGTGCTGAAAATCCCATGCAGCTATCACAACACCAGATAATTACACACGCACTACTAATTAATAAATGAAAATACATTCCTATTCAAATCTAATGGGGCATTTGTCCATTTTGAAAGAGTTAAAATCGAAAAACCAACCAAAAAGTGATATTTCTGCATACTTTGGCCTCCCATACAATTTGTAGGCAAAATGATGAGAGTGGCCTATACAAACGCCTGCCTTGCTCTATGCCTCAACTGGCGGCACAGAACACATCGGAGACAGCTGCCAGTGTTTCACTTCTGGCCCAAGCGACCCTTTTGAATAGTATTATTATTTTCTTCTGCATTTATATGCAATGGCATAAGCAAACGCTAGGTATGATTGCCCAATGAACTGACCTTAATGAGAGCGTTTCTAACGATATTCTAATGTTCTAGAATATATAAATATTCTAAAGAACAAAATTCTCTCTGTCACTATTTTTCTCTTTCCCTATCCTCCAAATTATCAAATCTACTATTGAAACTGGCTATTCAAGGCTCCAAAAAGTGACCGAAATTTCACCTAAAGGAGATCTGATCAAATTTTCCTTTCCTGAGGCTAAATTAATTTAACCACAACTTGGTGTAAGACTGAAGCTACTCGAATGATGCCCTTTAATTTGATGCCTAGAATTCTTTGTCAAAATAAGTTCGATTATAGTGTTCGAGGCAATTATTAGAATTTCCTCCTTATTAGAATGACAAATATCTGTGCGATCTAATCATTAAAATTTGTTATTAAAGTGAAGATTCGACTTTTTCTTTGTTGAAGTATTGTTTGTAATCCATGGTCGAATCTTGACTCTGAATTTTTATTGACAGTTGTGTCAAGTTGGGTTTGCAGCCATGCAGCCAGTCAGATCGCACGACGTTCTCAAACGAACTCATTGGTTGAAAACTACGTTTGCATTAAGAACCACTGATGCCATGTGCTTCAAACTTAGTTTTAATGGGTGATAATTTACAAGTTGCAGTATGACTATTGGGTTTCATTGAGATTGTGTGGATTTCTGGGTAGTCCGAGTTTTAGTGTTGAATCAGTCACGGACGCACCAATGTGTTTAAAAGGGCACAGAATGTTTCTAGATTGTCATGACAATGAAAAGCCGACAATTTCCATCATGATGCATGAACAGCAAGCATGACCTTCGTGTCCTTTTTAATTGAAGTTCGTTCCATGTTCTTAAGTGGTGAGCAGCCAAACACTTATGTGATTTATGTGGTGTGTAACGAACATCAACATCTGGCAACTATAATGGTTGACTGCGTATCTAGGTCTTGGCGTATTCGCGCTGTAGGTTCTAAGTTGGTGGTGGTGGTAGTGGGGGGATGGTGATTTTTGTCCAATTACCACCCGAAGCCCATAACGCTCCTTCTCTTGCCGATAGTCCCTTAATATTTTATGGTTCAACATTTCAATATTTAACATAATCATACTACTTTTTATCGAAGGCTCCTTTTTTCATTACCTCATGCATTTCAAAGCATTTAACTATTTGAGGCTTTAATTCACCATATGCTCAGAGACGAAAAAGGACGGTTTCGGCAAAACACAGCAGAATGTTTCCACATTCAATGCGATATGATAACTGGCGCGATATAGGCCTACAAGTCTCTGTTGGTCCCACCAAGTGATCTGTGCCATATTTGAATAATGTGGAGGCTTTAGCACATTTTAGTCGTATTAAGGATGAAATCTTTATTATCTGAGAATTGTGAATTGATAGCTTGCTGAATTTTCTGGAAAAAAAAATTTCTAACTAGTTCCACAGAATGACACACCCCTTGTATCATTTAAGGACGTGTTTAATTAAGATTCATTTTCTATAGTCGTCGATCAGTTTGAGGACTTTTCTCTTCAAATCGTGAACCCCAAATTTGGTCAGTGCAAAAATCACTGAGAAATGGTTGCTCATTGGCTTACTGCCGTGTACACAAACGACAAAACATCACAAAAGAAACAAACTTTGGAACAGCAACTCGTAAAAAAAGAAAAAACTTTATATGTACAGTTTTCGATGCAACACTGAAGCTTTCTCCGTGGAATGACATCACAATTCTTTTCATGAATATGGAAATTTGTATTAGCATAAAAACCATAAAGGCACCAAATACAGGTTAGAATGGCAAAACAAGATTTTAAAAAGTTTTGCCTTTTCGAAGATCGTAGTAAAACAGTTCCCAAGTATATGTTGTTTAATATGTATAGGTGTTAAATACGGGATCGAAGGCAGGAACATTTCGACAGAAGTTTGACATTGAAAATAACGATTGACTGGCGAGCAAAGTACAACTATACCCACCACTGTAGATTTTAAGGAAGCTCGAATTCAACCCAATAACCTTTTTAGTAAGTGACCATAATGCGATTAAAATTTGTCTGGATGATAACAAAAATCTTTTTTTTGTTTGTATGATGATAAAAACTTCTGAAATGCCAAACCTCTCTGCAATCACTCAGGGCTTGTGACATTGTCTCTACAAGAAGTTACCTCCGACAATGAAACGTCAACCATATGAGAATTATGTGGGCATTTTTGAATTGTTCAAAGCATCCTGGTCTGTCCTCGGACACTAGTGCCATTTTGGTTCCATGCAGAGCACAGTGTACCCTTCCCGTAAGTCCAGCCTTATTAAGGATGCCCGGCGAGACTCAGCCAGCTCGTCGGTGGACGTGTGGGACCCGTTCGGTCTGCCCAGCCCCACGGAAAACGACGACGTCTTCGCCGAGGAGTCCTCCGGCCTGCAAGCCAACGGTGACCTGCCCAGGCAGCTGTGCATTTCGTTCTCGTCAAGAGATGGCACGGGGTTCAACTCCCTCTCCAGGGCGGCCAAACTGTTCGAGGTATTTTCTCCGCTACCCGTAGACCCTTTGTTTCGTTCGTGAAACATCAGTGCCATTCTGAATGTGGTGTTATCTGAGCAAAAGTTCATTATTGCCAGTAAAAGTTTTTACAAAACATAATTACACTGGACTAGATTGGTTGCTGTGTCATTTTGTTTCTGTTTCTAGTGTACAAAGTATTTTGATTTGCATTGGTTACTGCCAGCTTATAGTTTGTCAAACCGTTGGTGTCAGAAAGTGCACTCTGTGACGTCACAGTAGGAAACGGAGGATCCATGAGGTACCTTGTAGTGCTTGGCGCAAACTGTCTCGAGTCCTACTCAAAATCTCTAGCCACGGTCGGCCGCATTTATTACTTTTTCCCCATAAACCCCCCTTTCCAACTGAAATACGCGCTGACATCAATCATGATTATGTTTCAAATGCCAACCGTTTAATTAAAAGTCTTCGAGCAGATTTCCTGTTCGTACTGCTCAGTGTGTGTAACCTTACGTGACTGTACCCTAGGTAAACAAGTCATGTCAATAATCGTCTCCCAGACAATGTGATTCATATTTCATCTTCTGAGATGTGCCTCGAAGGAAGCCATGCGGTAGACTCGAGCAATGGATCTTTTATAGTCCTGCCCTGTGTATATTGTCACAGCCAGATTGTTACAGACACACCACAACTGCGTGGTATAGTACCCTCAGTTATTCGTGGTTTATTCTTAGGGCCACATTGAAGCGCATGATAGAGGTAGCTCCTCTCATTTGGTGGCACTTTTGATGCCGGTTTCGTCAGTCTTCCCTGCGAAAGCGGTTGTGCCTGCAATAGTTACTTTCTTGGAGTCTAGGCGCATAGCCGGGGGGTTTGTTTGCTTGCTGCAGAAACTGAACCACAAAATCACACCTTTCGCTGGGCGCGCGATTGGGTCTGCGAGTGTACAATTTGGACGACGCAGTTTTTTTTTTCAATTAAAAGCGAATAAAGATAAATCATGCAGTTCACTTACTCCTACTTGAAGCATTGGCTTTTCTCTAAATTGTAAACAAGCAAAACCAAATCAAGCAGTTGCAAAATATTCTGTCGGCAGACACTGGCCCACAGCAACATTTTAATAATCACGTACTCATGATTTTGACAAACTAGATGTCGAAGATGAAACTGCTCCACGTGGAATCGCGCGCCTCGGCCGTCAAAGAAGAGGGGCTCGAATTCCTGATACAGTGTGACGCCAAGGGGTGTAACACCCGGGGCCTTCTGGCCTCCCTCCAGAAGATCGTGGACTCGGTAGTCCTGCACATGGAAGACTTGCCTCCAAGAGGTGAGAGTCGATGTACACGAGGTTTGCTTCCCCAACGCAAGACCGAGATTTAGTCTTGATTCCAAACCGAAATGTTTCACTGTAGACACAGTGAAGAATGAACTATACTTGACTAAGAATAGGGAAAGTTGTGGTCTGGAATCTAGACTCAGCCCAGTTGAATGGATAGGATGGGTTTTCTCTAGTCCCTCTCCGGATTGACTCATAGACTGCATCATTACAGTATTTGCCTTTTGTGGTCCAAGCAACCTTGTTTACTGGAGCACATGCAAGTTAATCTGTTTCATTTTTACTTGTACGCTAGTATTTAACGGTATAAGGGTTTTTGCATCCGGGAAACGAATCAAAGTCTTTATGAGCAGTGAGAACAGAACGTGCAATTTGCTATTTTTCTATGGACGCATATAATCAATTAGAGCAAAATTAGAGCATAAAATACGTTAAGAAATGATGCATGCCACATGATTTTTATTTTCACTTAGCGACGAAACCTTTTTAAAGTTTCATTTGGTCCCTCAGTAATTTGGAGGGAATGCTACACGGCGGACCGCTCATAGTCTAGAGTAAAAGTCGTCAATCTTGATGTTTTTAGTACGTAGCTATGCCGACCGGGCTGAGTGACTCTGAACGGGCTGAGTGACTCTGACCGGGCTGAGTGACTCTGAAAAGGATAAGTGACTCTGTTCCTTTGTACCCCTAATCAACCAAAATGTGTTTTATCGTTTGGACGTTTTCTCTGCAGCAATACCTGTGATTCACATTAGTGCGCCTCCAAGAGTTTGCAACGCGTTGGCCAATCACAACGCACGAAATCTGTCGACCCTTTAAAGGTTTCGCGCATCGTGATTGGTCCACGCATTCTAACTCTTGGAGGCGCACTATTTTGAATCGCCCGAATTGTGAAAAGCAAATTACAATGAAACGTTTCATTTATAATATAGAGGTGTGGTTTCCACGTCACATTTCGGATCTGGATAAGTGCACGCATCTTGCTACTCAGTACGAGCCTGATCTTGATCACGAGCATCCGGTAAGAAGTGATGAAACCACTCAAGATACTGGCACTATAGCTGTTTTTTTGGATGGGGGGATTGATTCACAAATTTCGCTGCTACATTTGGCTGAGGGACAAGAACATCCAATACCGACAGTATCTGCTGAAACATCATCAGCGATATGGTAGTAAAGATTCAAAGTCTTAGAAGTCAGCGGCTTTGTCAGATTCGCGCACCGTGACATTCTGCATTGCAGGCCACAAATCGGGTGCGTTCGAGCATGCTACACAAGTACACTCCCCGAGTGCAAGAGCGGCAGAAATCCCCGCGGGTCAGCAGAGAGTATTCTCTGTACACTTTCGATCCGAGAGTAATGCGCACACAACATTTTCCTGCTCTCGGGAGTCAGTACGAGTAAATCCGTGCGAACGCATCCATTAAGAAATGGAGGAGTGCTGCAAAATAACACGTGAGCTTACGTAGCCACATGCCAGCGATTCAGCACAGTTCTTTCTCCGACGTTGTTGCATGAACAGGCAAATAAATCGTCTAATGACAGCCACCAAGGACTGATCCTGAACCAAATTTTCGGGGGGGGAGCTGGGTTTTTCTTAAGGGGGGGGCAGAAATGTTAAATTGTAAAAAAAACTTTTATGGCCTTTCTGCGTTTTGAGGGTGAATTTTTGAGCTTATTTCTCGATTTTGGAAGGGAAGGAAATGAAACCACAAATTCGCCTTTCTCTCTTTATTTTAAAAAAATGACTCTTTTGATTGACACCATGGGGTCTGTTGTCCCCAAACGAACGAAGAGCAGATTGAACGGAAATGCTAAATAGTTAAATGATGATGTCATTGAGTGTCAACTATGCCGCATTTTCAGGGCTTTTCGGACAAGGTCTATCGCGCACGGAGATCTGAAATTGCACATATCGCCTTCCAGTATAAGTAGTAAGTGGCACCTTTCAACATTTTACGATTACGGAGGAATCAATATGGTAAAACTGTTCAATAGTTAAACCATTTGAATAAACTCTTAAGTGTATTTTTAAAACAATTTTCCGGATGTGACCAAACATTTTCATGGACGCTTTCAACCCCGATACGATAATGCATTGGAATTACACTAGATCGTGGTATTGTTATGGTATTCTCCCATTTCAATAAACCTGTCACCATAGTTCTCCCTTTTTCATTGTTGCTCACGCTCATTCAGTACTGTTTTTGCTAAGCAAGTGATGTCATGTTTCAAACATTGTCCCGTTGTAGTGGGCAGCCGATCGGAAGGGTGGAATACACGGAAGAAGAAACCAAAACTTGGTGAGCAAAAAACAAAATCTAGGCTTCATGCTTGCTTTACAAGCCTGAGGACAGATTGCATAAAATTACCTGTCTTTGTGTTCATTGTGTAAAGATTTAACATAAAATCCCATCGAACCATGAATTATTGATTTGTAGAAATCAGTATTCCAGACAGAGTGTAATTATGTGGAATTGCTGTATTGCTCTTGCTGAAGTTACTACAAACTTTGAACAAGCTTAGAGGATTCAGTTCTTTCACTGTGTATAAAAATGGCTATATTCGACAGTCCCACTTAACATTTGTAGCTTTTAATAATCCGTAGCGACATCACACATTGTTCCTTCACTGCAACTCCAAACTTTGTTCTGCAAAGCAAACTAGTAAGAACCGTCTGAACATTAACCAAAAAAGTTGTTCATTTTTAACTGGAAAAGAACAGATCGCTACTCAACACAAAAATGTCTACAGCTTGAAGCCCGCTTCATAGCAGAATCCTATCTTGCTTTAGTCAAAGAGATACCAACACGGTGACCGTTGATCGCAAAAAAAAAAAAAAAAAAAAAAAAACTAAACTGGAATGCCATCGCTGAGGGGGTTCCAGCTTGGAGCAAAAATCGAAGAGCGCGCCAAATGTTAGCCGGCGCCAACCGGGATCAGCGGGGACGGATTGAACGGCCGGCCGTCTAGAGTAACACGCCTCGGCCCACGAGCGATCTATCTCATTATAAGCGGCAACACTGCACCACAGCCCTAGAAAAAAAAAGAAGGGGCAAACCGATAGTCAAACTCATTAAAATCTCGGCTGTGTGTCTTTTTGGCGCAATTTCGAATTCTTTCTCCATCGATAGGTTACTTTTTCCTAAAATCTAGTTTTTTTCTCTAAATTGCATATCCTGGTTCAAATACTGTGTACTTTTATATCGTACGACAAGGCAGAGAGTGGTTATTTAAAATTCAAAGCCCAACATGAGCTGCAGCACGAGACAGGATATACGAGGATGCATCCTTCCATGGCGAATGATCCACAGGCCCGTTCAAAATTGTCGACGAGAAATGTCAACCTCCTCTCAGCCGGCTTGTCTATGCCGCTTTTATCGCCCGTTTGTGCAACGTTACGTTCCTTCTTGGTAATCACCAACCCCGTAAGGAGACTCAACTCTACGGCCTTAGAAACTGATCAACACTGCGCGCGGTGTACTTGCGGTTGTCCCGTTTCTGTCCACCAAACGTCATCTCTTTGCGATGGACGTTCATCTGGATTGACATGTTGTCTAATTACTAGCCTATTAAAACAAAACGTATTGACAAATACGTAAATGAAATTGTTTGCTTCAATGAAAAATAGGCATAACTGACCAGAATCGAGCCAAAAACAAAACAATCTCCAGCGTCTTTACGATGGTTTTCATTTGATACCGCATGATAACATTTCCCCGTAATGTCTTTGTGATCTCCCCCATCGCTGGGACACATACCCTAAAAGAAATGGACGTCTTTCCCCTCCAAGTATTGAGGAATATAATGAAATTCTCATTAATTGGCTAAATATAGCGAATCAATGCCTTAACCACCGTGGGGCGACGGCCGGGGCGGATACACGGCGGCCGCAAACCATCCGGAGAGAAAACAGATTCCACGGTGCTCCCGGCGAGCAAGTATATCGTATTGGTCTCCATCGATCGACTGGTCAGATCGGGCTGACTGGCTGCCTGATCCGAGCGGCCCTTGAAGCCTGGCTCAGTCAGAACACAGCTGAAGGGTTGGGCTCATTTGAGAACGGCAACACGTGAGCACGTGCACCACATTTACAGTAACAGATGGAGGCAAGTCTGCCTTTGTAACTAATTCTTTAAAAATCGGTTTGATTTCAGAGGAATGCAATGGAAAAAGGTTCCAAACTATCCATCTTTATTGTAGGCGCAGTTCTACGGGGGCAGGGTTTTTTAGCCCCCCCCTATGTCTACTAGTCCCAAAAATGCAAAAATTAAAAAATTAAAGAGCAGTAGCAAAAGTTGAAAGGTGACTCCTGTGCGAAGGTCCTGCCCCCCCCAAAAAAAAATTGGCTCTAAAATCATGCCTGCTTTATCAATAAACTATGGTGTGCAAGCACGACAGCAGATCTGACAAATTATAGAGAAACGCTTTTCCTATTTACTGAAGGCCTTCCTAAAACCTGAAAACTTCGGTTCTCTAGCTGCAGATTGTTGAAAAACTGCAGCGCCCTCTACACAAATATTAAAGTGCCTCATTTTCCAACTTCCTAGAGGGGAACTCAGTGTGTATTATGATTCGTCGAAGATGGGCCTTTTATTGATCGGTTCGCTTCAGGTCGAACGGTGTTACACATTCAGATGAAATAGTTGACATTGATATGCGCACACGCAGTTTAATACGGGCGTCTCACAATAGTGCGCCTCCAAGAGTTTGCAACGCGTTGGCCAATCACAATGCGCAAAATCTGTCGACCCACTGCGCGTTTGCTACCCAATGCGTCGTGATGGTACCTTCAACCTGGTAGTAGTTAAGCCACTGAATTAAGCACAGAATACAAGGTAGCATATCGCGTCAACTGGAAAAAAAGATTTACTAAGTCATGCTCAGGAAAAAAATCTCGTTACCATCAGATGTTGATCCACCAGCAGAACCAACAAGCAATAGAAATGAACAGTGCCACATAATATCTTGGTGTTAATGCAGGTTGAAGGCAACGAACCGTCCACGCAACAAGACGCGACCCAATGGAACCAAAATGCAATTAAGTTTTATTTAACTAAAAAAAAAAGGTAACGCAGAACATACAAGCAATAGAAATGAACAGTGTCACATTAGACGGTCGAACAATGATAAGAGCACTGTTAAGACAAGGTCATATTTGTAGCAAGGACAATCTTAGCTCCCAATTCTTTGTTTCTGTTTGTTTTCTATTACTGATAATAGGAGGTATAGGAACTCTTATTACAAAGTAATTTTTGAAGTCCCAAGGACATTGATACAACAGCGTTCCACTGTATATTGGTGTTACTGCGGGTTGAAAGCAACGAACCGTCCACGATACATGACCCGACCAAATGGAACCAAAATGCAATTAAATTTCATTCAACTAAAACAATAACACACAATATACAAGCAATCGAAATGAACAGTGTCACATTAGACGGTTGAACACAGATAAAAGCACTGTTAAGACAAGGTCATATTTATAGCAAGGACAATCTTAGGTCTCAATTCTTTGTCTTTGTTTGCTTTCCATTACTGATAATTCAAGGTAACGATTATTATAAAGTAATTTTGAAGTCCCAAGGACATTGATAAAACAGCATTCCACTGTAAATTGGTGTTAGTGCAGGTTGAAAGCAACGAACCGTCCACGTAACGTGACGCGACCATATGTAGCCAACATGCAATTTAAATCTTATTCAGCTGAACAATAACGCTACCCACGATACGCCGACCGCAAACAATTATGCTTATTACGGAGAACGGAGGCCACAGCGGGCCGTGCCAATGCTAGACTGACGGAAAGCTAATCAAATGTAATTTGTTAATTAAACATTACATCGGTCACAACCTGAGCAATATCATCAACAATTACAAATAATGCCGTCAACATTTTTTCATGACGTGCATAATTTGACTTCCTCGTTATTTCGGCAAAACAAACAAAAACTTGCGCTGAAAATTAGACGTAAATGCCGATGATTTTTATCTGTATAGCAGGAAATCATGGTTCCAAACTGCAAGTAATCACTTCGTAAACCGAAATATCGGATTTTCTTCTACAATTTGGCAATTCACGTTCTTAACATGTTCTTTCATACATCTTCTATAATTACACTGGTGGGCGCTGTGGTGTATTTGCTAAGATTAATTTAACTCTGAATTACACGGGGTGTATATATTGCTACTCGTGACATTTTAAAATGTGATTCTTTAATACGGCACAGATACTTTTTCAATGCGTCAGCGAACCAGCCAAAAAAACTCTGTCGGAAATTGGCTTCCATCTCAATTTAACCCGTCGTGGTGTGTAAACAAACGTGTTTGATTAGCGGTATTTGGCGCGTGCCGTATAGTGTGGCTCGGTTATCGTTATGTGAACGCGTGGATGCATTTCCTCAGGAGTTCCAACTACGAATTTTCTTATTTGAATGAAACGAGACCACAACCAAGAAAACGGTTAATAAGCCTGTGGTTATCAGAGCGTAAGGTATACCCCACCTTATGATGAACTCATGACGTCATAGTTTTTGCACCTGCTTTCCCACAGGGGATACGTGTACCGCCAGTTACAGCAGCTGTTTCCTACGCATGCGTGCAAAGAGCACGTGAGCGCATTCAGGGAGCTGGAGAAAGCAGGACTCTACAGGTAGGCCTACGAATAAACCCTTGCCGGAGTTCACAACGCATTATGAGTTTGGATGACAAACAATTTGCATTTTTGCAGGAACCTAAAATAAATAAACGTTCAGACATATGTGACCTGTCACCACAAAATGAGCTGAAAGTCGGAATTTTCAGAAATTGAGATACTGGTGTTTTTGAAGTCAGCAGAAGGAGAGCTTTCTAATTGTACATACATGGACCGCTGAGGGTAAAAGTATTAAGTGACAATGTGGCATTATTATGGCCGCTCGGTGTCTTTATTTCCAACATTGCTTCAACATTTCTGACCAGGCACGAACACTGCTGACATCAAAATTGCTGTGAAAGTCCTGGAAAATATTTGGATTTAACCAGGCGACGGGTTACTCTGTCTAAATATTGCAAAACCCCAAAGTTTCCTCCACTTCAGTATGACTTCGCTGGATGAATTAGCTATAAGTTTTAACTCTGATTGGCCAATTCTTGCCCATTAATGTTCATTGTTTTAGTCCAAGACAAAAAATGCTGTTTTGGTAAAGGATCCCTAAATTTTGTGAAAACTCCAAATCTACAACGCAACACGGTATAAAAAGAGGATGCCTAGAATTTGAGTAAATGGAAACAGGTTGTTGTTTTGCACGTTCATGTCTTCCATAGTATATTGTGTATGAAATGCATTGCTTATCTATCATCCTAACCCATAATGCATTGCAAACATTGAGAAAGAGAAGAAACTTTAACCTCTTTTGACATCAGCCACATTAAGGTCAAGGGAATGCAGTGTCAACCAGGACGAGACACAACTGTCTACTTCCAACCAAATAATGTCCACTTGTTTTGTCCTTCACATTAAAAATGCTAATGGAAATGATTTCAAACAGCGACAAGCAACCGCTGTAATCGATATACTGAAAACCCGTTTTGCCCCCCGCAAGTCCGTATCGATATGTCTCTTCATAAACGTAACTGTTTTGCAGTAAGTGATGTTGTGTGGAGTACAAAACACTACCACTCCCCCGTTGGTTCAGTCTATTTACCTTGTGATTACATTTCTTCAATTCGTTTGCAGCCCCGATTTTATTCCCCAGCTTGATGATGTTTCCAAGTTTCTCCAAGGTAAATAGTATCCATTCGCTGCTGATTGTTTAAACCTCACTCTATGCTCTTGATATAAACGGTAAACCTTTGCGATAGATATGTCGAAAGTTAAAGACTGCATGTATGAACCTCTGTATCACGAATTGGACACAAGACAAGAAGAGGCAAATTAAAAAAAAGGTGAGGCCAGGATTAATTCAAACTAAAATTCAAACTTGCACATAATGTTCAACTAATTAAGAGGCACCACCTGGAACTGCTGAGGACTTTCGGTAAGTCGAGCCTATTTTGAGTCAAGTTAAGCGAAATGTTTTGTGTCATGGCGGTTTTTTATCCTAGGGGCTGCGATACGCAAAATTATAGCTTTTTAAAGGCGAATTCCCAAGACTTCATATGCAAAAGAAATATATCGCAAAATTGTGCCAACAACTTACGCGAGAAAATTCTAAAATAGGCCTATATCCATATACACTTTGCATCCATACATGATTCCAAAACCAGAATAGCTTCTGGTTCTTTTTCACTCCCAAATAACACCAGAGAAAAATATCTATCCAACCAACCCAGTGGTAATCACATTCCTGTCTTTTTTTATCTTTAAAGAGAAGTCTGGGTTCCAACTCCGTCCAGTTGCTGGCCTGCTGACTGCGCGAGATTTCCTAGCAAGTCTCGCATTCCGCGTGTTCCAGACTACTCAGTATGTTCGTCATACCTCGTCACCAATGCACACGCCAGAACCGTAAGGAGCACATGCGACCATTGTTAATTGTTTGTAGGTGTCGGCTCTTACAATAATCCAGCATGAGGGATGAGAGTCTCTGACTGTGATGTGGCCTTGATTACAGCCTATAATTCCTACACCATTATCACAAAGAGGAGTCATCTCAGACATGGCATTCTTATCTTTATCGAAGTTTGACATAATGTGTATCGTTATAAAGTTTAATAATTGCCACCATAGCCTTCAATCCTGTTGAATCCACCATTCCTGACCATGATGTGATTGATTTTCTCATTTCATTGACAGGGATTGTTGCCATGAGTTACTTGGGCATATACCTATCCTCACAAACCCAGAATTTGCCCAGTTTTCTCAGGTTCGTATATACAAGTAATAATTTACATCGGGAAAGGGAAATACTTCATATCAGTGAAGGAAAAACCTTTAAGCATGTATGGTTCAGATCATTTATTACATCACAATTTAAGTTTCACAAGCAGTGTTGTGATGTTTGAACTCAGTTCGTGAAAGCAGCTTTCATTTTAAATTTTATAACTGTGGGTGGTATTCTTTTCAGGAGATAGGACTTGCATCTCTGGGCGTGTCTGATGACGACATCACAAAACTTGCCACGGTATATAAAACATGTAGCTTTAACAATGACGTAGGATTTTTTTTAAATGACTGGAGGCAGTCATAGCAGTACTTCTGAGCACTTCTCTTTTCCTTTGGTACAACTGAAAAAGGAAATTATCCGGAATAAGCACTTTCACTCCTCCTCGCAATTAGATGTTCATTAGCAATTGCAACTTTTTAACTCACAAGTTGCATTATTTAGCGCAATTGATTCGTTTTTCACCAAGTGTGTGTTTAAAAATTGAATACAGGAGTTTTGACTATGTAAGGCCAGTAAGGCGTCATTACAAACAACGATCGATGTACCTAAAGTTTTGATTCGCAAATCGTCTTCTTTAGCTGTACTGGTTCACTGTGGAGTTTGGTATATGCAAAGAGGGGGACCAGGTTAGAGCCTACGGTGCTGGTTTACTCTCTGCTCCTGGGGAACTCATGGTAAGTTTATCATTCAAAATGTAGCGATCTGTATCCGGTTAGTAAGTGACTTCGTCACAAAGACGGGCGCGCCCCGTTTTGCAGGCTCCCATTGGACGATCGCTGAAGTTGCGTGTTAACTTCCGATTCCAATGTCCGACTTCCAATTGATGCATGTAATGCATGTAACTGTGTGCAGTGCATGTGCAGCCTGCGTGGTTTAAACTGAGGTGACGTCACACTTACGAACTGGATAGCGTAGTCCATAATAAATGATTGATACAGCGTTCTGCTGTATTACAGAGCTTCTCCTTTTTTCTGCCAACTGGTAGTCCGTAAAAGATGCGGTACCGACGAGATGTATCAAAAGAAAACTGTCGAATATCACGCCTTTTCCCCAGAGGGAGGCTGTAAATAGTTCAGAATTACTATATCTGTACACCTTTTGTCGCGTCCCAAAGTACGCCCTCTCCGACCAGCCGGAGCACAGGCCCTTCCAGGCATCTAAGGCAGCCGTGCAGGAGTATCAGGACAAGAACTACCAGCCCATTTACTTTGTCTCGGACAGTTTTGAAGACATCAAGCAGAAACTTCGGTAAATTTAATATTGATGTAGGATCATAATTACACACCACAGTGACTGCTGCAAAAAGATTCTATTCATCAAATGTGAGATTAGTGGTGCGTCACATCCAGGATTTTTTCTTGCTTTCTTTCTCAATATTTTGGTACAATTTTTTACCTGATCCAGACTCGTTAAGTGCATGCCATTGAGCCGTGCGACTTTGGGTCTTACTCAGGTCACAGTGAGAAACTCGGCAATGTTGTTTATGTTGAAACTGTTTCAAGACGTAACTGAAAGGGGTTCTCCGTGTCCTTCTAGGTCCTTTGCAAAGTCGATGGAAAAGCCTTTCGGTGTCCGCTACGATCCTTACACAAGAAGGATAATAACTCTCGACAGTATCGAGAACGTGCGAGATACCGCAAGGACGCTGGCAAGCGACTTCAGTACTGTGACAGCGGCCCTGGAGAAGATAAAAGTTCGTTAGAGTGTACGACAAGCAATATTTATGCATTCAAATGAAATTATTTTATGTTCTGAGGATTTCCGGTAATCAGCTAAAATCTTGGAAGTTTTGGCTGTAAAATATAACGTATAATTCTTTGAAAACTTCATTGTTAAACTATTTTTTTCCAATTTAACGTAGAATGGTTTTGGTTTATTGATCATGGAGCTGAGGTTCTAGATTCCATTTTTGTTAACGGAAAATATCTTGTGGTGCAGCTTTGATGACAAATTTACAAAGACAGGATAATCAAAGGAAGATTCAGCTTTTCCTGTCGGCACTTTATGACATGGTAAACATGGCATCGACCCTTGAAATGTCATATGAAACACGAATATAACACAAGCATACATTTTATACACGAGGCAATCCAAATTATTTACCGAGCTTTAGCTACGTTTATGACTAAATTTGCCAGATTTTTGGCCAACCTCCCCCAATTTTGGAGTTTGTAAACGTCAAACCCTTTGCTAGTTTCAAGCCGCCTTTAAAATGAGCACCCTTTTCCTAATTCTTAAAATGACTAGAATAACTCCTAGCGTATATTTAACCATGTGTTTCTAAAAGATCAAAATACTGTTTATTGTAAGTAAGCACTTTTTGTTCAAAATAAGTTTGGCCTACTTTACATTCGTTACCGGTAGGAAATTAAGGTCATGAACTCCATTATTCAGGAGAGTTGAATATGCATTTCTTTGCAAATCAAAACTGAACAGAATAGTCGGAGATCATATCAGCGCTTACCTGTTGCGGTGCACTGTGGGAAGGAGCAACTTTTTTTCGCTGGCGCTGTATAATCAATAAGGTGGTGGTCACAATTGGCACTGAAACACTGCGGCCCGCGTGACACTAGCACTTCCCATGTGGGCGCATCGCACTCACTAGCACTTTACACGCACATTCTTCAGCTTGTCGCGCGCGTGCATTTGGCAAATCAGGACACCCTATTGGTCGAAGAGGCATGTAACGCGCGCGTACCACGAGCGTTGTACCACTGCAGTAATGGCTTCTAATTCTGGTGGTACGACACGAGTGTCTCAATTCTTTGAACCAAACTGGTGGATTATGCGTCTGTGTCAAGGACAATCAGCCACAATAGATGCGTGCCTTACTGCGCACATAATGAACAGCCATTTTAGTTCCAAAGTCTGAGGTTGGCGCTACTCTTTCTACGAGCCCAGACCTCGAACAAGAGAGGGCACCGAGTCCCTAGCAACGCCGGCTTCTTAAACTTTTAGGGACTGCACTTCGCTGGTTCAAAACCGAGTGTGAATTACACGCGTTACGGTCGCATCGCTACCGCACCAACAAAATGAGCATTCCCGCCCAACATGACTCTTTCATCCGATGAGGGGGTGCCTCTGTTCAAGGCAGTGGAGCTCTCATAATCACAGCGGATGCAAGCATGCATCACTCTCACTGGTCTGTGTTCATGTCTTGGTTTGGACTTAAACTCGCACTTGTCTTTTTTCCTTGTCGCCGGTGTCCCCCGGTGCCACGCGTGCCGTCATCAAAGGCCAGTTTTTCCCTTCTTTTTGTTGACAACTTTTATTGTTTGATGTCTAAAGATTTAAATAGTAAATCGAAATAATCGTTTAAAATGTCCAGATAGTGTGGGGATCGCTTGGGACGCTTTGGAAGTCAGCTTATCGAGGAATATTGAACGTTTACGATCGAGAAATAAATACATGTATATAACATGAATTTGAAACCGTGTCGCCTTTGAATGTGTATATATTTAACAAAGAGCTAGGCCTATATAGCTCTTATGGTATTTAAGTTTTTTATGCTTCATAACTCTTAATGAACGAAATACGTTAAGGCTTAGAATGAGCTTCATGCGGCTAACAGTGAGCAGTGTTGGAGGAAATCAGGCCCCCAAAATAGCAATTCTATCGACCTCGGAATCACATCTCGCGCATATCTAGGGTTTGTTGCCCACGCTATTAAAGCTTCATGAGATGGGTTTGTCTCAAATGCACTTTTCTGCAACTTTATACTCTTTATCCATGGGGAAATTTGACATTTTTTGGATCCTTAAGTGCATTGAAAGGGTCACTTTTATAAACATATTAAGTTCTTCCATTCAAATGGTGAACCCAAAGGTTTGGATCATTGAAACCATTTTTTAAAAAGTGCAATCTGTTGACTTTTTGTCTTACGTGTACTTACACAAAACAATAAAAAAGTATCAAAAAATTCCAGCCGTGTGCATAAATAAATAGAAAATAGAGGTTTTCTACCTGGAGTTATATCAGAGTTTCGCTCATGAATATGGACAATCGTATTACCAACATGAAAACATTCCACGGCACCAAGAATACCATTTAAAAAGTTTAATTGAAACCCAATAACCAGGTGCCTCTTCGAGGAAATTAGTAATGGCGCCCTCTGCTGCTACAAGCCGCCAATTCAAGTGTTCGTGGGTTCACCCCAAGAATAAGTTCCCATAGACACCAGTGATAAGTCCCTATACATCACAAGTTTTTAAAAAATACTGACACCTCTCACAGGTGTTCAGACTGCACAAAAACTGATGTTCGACGTGTTCTTTTTCATTTCTCTTCAATTTCTAGTGGGTTGACAAATGAATTTTAAAAAAATTCTAACCCAAAGCAGATCACCCCAAAATGGGGAAATTTCCCTGCCCCGAAAAGTAGCCATTTTGAAACTGGACTTGGGACTGTCCCAACTATAGTTGGGACTTATGCTATAGTCGGGGCGTAACAGAGTCATGGGGTGTACAGAAGAGGGGACAGACCACTGGAGAATATGGGGTGCCATATTTAGTGTTGAGCTAGTGAAGGCTGTCAAAACATGTAAATAAGCAAAGGACACATTAAAGGGACTTTACTTGTAATTTATTATGCAAGGATGTTAAATACATGTAGTAACAGACTGAGAAACCCCATGTTATAAAAAGTAAAAATACTGTTAACGTTCTTTATTAAAATTCGTTTCCCCGTTACTAATTTAAGAAAGTTATTCAAATGAACTGGAAACGAAACTGGAAGGTTTGAAATGTGAAGCTGTATAAATTGCTTTAAAATTTCAAAGAAAATGTGCTGTTACAATGCCTAACACCACGACTCAGGTATGATTGAATAACAGCTGGACTGCTGCGTCAAAAACAGCGCACAGAAGCATTGCGTCCGCGCGCAACTTACTATAAACAATAAATTTTTTGTTCGTATTTTTGAATCATTCCGTCTTATCGAGTGTAACGGTACAAATCCGGGGAAAGAAAACCTTCAGGTAAACAAAACAATTTAAAGGGATGATTTCATTTAAGATAGGAATTACACAGATCATGTTAAAGTACGATACGATAAGATTGCATTACGGTGATAG